TCCTCCCAGGCCCACCCTGGGCGCCCGGTTGCGCAACCAACCCAGTCCTCCCAGTTGTGATCCGGTCTTAGTCTTAGAGGAGTCTGTGCTTGGTTTAATCGTTCGTTTTGGGTCCTTCGTCTGGTACCACTTAGTCCTTAATGCATATACAATACAAGATATAAGTTACATTAAAAGTAAACAACAATGTCAGTAACAAGATAATTGAAACAAAGCAACTAGGGTGTTCCCTGTATTTGCTATATCATTAGTGCTGTATTATCCCTATACATCCACTCGAGATGGTTATATTATTACAAGATATGTGTCTGCGTGAATTGTGTGATGTCTATCTAGGGGAATATACTCCTTATTGATCAGTGCTACTAGGGGTGGCGTATAGACGTTCTCCTCCAGGGGAGGGTGTGATAATGTTTCCCTTAAGGGGAATTTAGTCCTGTCTCGTCTCTGGAGACAGTACCGTGTGAAAAATGGGGTTGTGTGCGTCGGGTATATACCTAGGACCCGGGACTTATTGATCCTATTCACTTAGTATACCTTTAGGAGAAGAGGTCTTGAGACCTATTTCTTGGGGCGTGTGCGATATGTGGGTACAGGTAAGTCTATCTAGGGGTGTCAGTCCCCAAGCCGATTCCGGCCTGAGGAGGACGTACCAGCTACCCAGGAGTCCCTCCCTCAAGTTTGTCTTATATCTCGACCTTATTGTTACGTAGTGGTCACTTAGTTAACTATGTACATGGTTTACCCCTTTTTTTTTTTTTTTTTTAAATTAGTGTAGAGTTCCCTTCTGGTTGCTATCATCTCTGCACTTTAATACCCGGGGCCGACTCTTGTATCTAGATATGCCTATGGTTTGATCTCATCCATCTTTAGCGGCTAGCCCTGGCTTCAAATGGCTCCCCTATGGTGAAGTCTCGGTGTTGCTTCTGATATCTTAATATGCAGTGATCGCTTTTAGGATCTCTGAACAGGGGGTATAACGGAGTCATCGCTTAGGTACTAAGCTCGACCTAACAGCTCTCAGTGTAGAAAATAGGCAATTATTTGAGACATATGTAAAACCATGCTATGTGTGTCGTTGGGCTTGAGAGGCTCAGTTCATTATCTACATTGTCTTTGCGTATACGACCTGCGGAAGAGATATCAGTCTCTTTTCCGAGTTGGAATGTCAAACATCGAGTCTCCCCAAACATCTCTTAACTTGCTGTGGTGGAGGCTGCCAGGGACCTGACACGTATGCAGGTTAAGGGGTCCCTTATGTTGGTTGATTAGGTGTAGGGAAGAGATTGAAGTTGCAGTGTCTCGTGAATGTGGACAAAACTCCTGGAGAAGCTGGTATCTCCCTCTGTCACTTCAGGTGTCGGGATACATGTGGGTGGTCAACTTGTGTAGTCGCTTTAGTCGGTTGGATTTGTTCTTTATTGGTTTTGGGCGACGTGACGTCTTTCCCGGCGGTGATGAGGTGAGAGGAGTCTGTTCTCCGCCCTCCTTGTCTTCGCAGGGGTGGTCCATTTCTGCCTTTGGGAAAGTTGAGTGGTTTCATTGTTCGGTATGGGGTAGTTCCAGTCCAATATCGCTGTGTCTGGCAAGTCCAGTGCCCTGAGGAAGGGGGGGACATCCAAGATTGAGGCAATTTGATGGATGTTGCCCTTGTTATTCACTATTAGGGCGAATGGAAAGCCCCATCTGTATCTGATATTTCTGTTTCGTAGGATCTCAGTGATTGGCTTCAGTGCCCTTCTCGCCTGTAATGTGTACCAGGAGAGGTCTGGGTAGA